ATTTGATAAATATTGCTTATTCTTGCAATAATAAATTATCAGGAATGATTTATGATGTGTGCATAAAGACAAGTTGCTTCCTGGTTTCCATAATAACGTTGTGTATAAATTGCAATGCAGTAGTTGTGAAGCGTCGTATGTTGGTCAAACCAGTAGAAGACTCTCTATGTGCATTGCTGAGCATAGGAGAATACCAAGGAGTTCTACAGTTGAGTTAACGGCCATACAAGAACACCGTTTGCGAAAAAACTATGATTTCAATTGGGATCAAGCCAAAGTTTTGCATGAGGAACGTTATTACTTGAAACGCCTGATATCAGAAATGATTTACATTAAATTTCAAAAGCATGGACTTAATTCTCAAAAGGACACAGAATATTTGGACAACAGCTACTGCGACTTATTATAAAAATAAAACTTTGTTTCCTTCTCTTCCAAGAGTCGCAATGTTAATGCTCGTGTATATAAATCTTATTATCTCTTTTACTTAGACGTGGCGATGTTATCGTTGACAGGATCGTTTCACTTTTAGCTAAGCTCAACAAATGTAATTTATATTGACCGTTTTAATTATTTATTATATTTTAATCTTACCTATTTTTATTTTATTTTATGGCTTTTTTATAGTTATGGCTACTTCTTAGTATTAATTTGAACTTCTTAATATTAGTCGGGTAGCGGTCTTGTCAGCTATAATACTGCGAATAACATTCATGTCATTTTATTAAGGTCTTTAATTAATTCTTTTACTTGTAATGCGTTCGTTTTGTAAACCTTGAGTTTTTTTTTATATAAGAGAGTTCATGATTGAGCCGAAACGTTTGATTATTTATATTGAGTATTTATATTCAATAAATATTGCTCTATTTCCTAACACAAGAAAGGTTTTATCCATATAGTACATAGCACTATTAATCCTGTGCTTGAACTCGAATTAGCCCTTTTTTCTATTATTTAATTGATATCAATATAATAAAGGCTATTAAATATATCACTTTGAGTATACTTGAGTATCTTTATATCATCCAGGATATTATACCCAGGTATTCTAATTTCTTAAATATTGCACATAATTATTTTTTGTCAAATAAACCAGATATTTGTATATTCTCCTCAAATTTTTTATACTAACAAAATAATGATTCTATCGATGCAGTATTATCAATCTATCTTAGGTAGAGCTATATTCTTTGTTCCAACTCGTGAAACAGTAATTTTCCTGCTGAAAGAATCAATATAGCGATTGTGTACAGAACAGAATCGCTAACACTCAAATTTGTGTAAATTTTTTCACGAAGAAAGTAAGCAAATTTTATTTTTTCAATTTTTTATCAAAAGCGTCTTAAAGTACCAGATTTGCGCTTTTGTATTTATTATCATTATTATAATAATATAAAATTGACTAAATTTTGTGGTTAAACTACATGTACAAGCATGAATTTATATAATTATGTAATATATTCAGGAAATCATATTTTTATCCGGATCACAAAATTCTTTAATAGAAACCTCTTTAAAACTATTTTATGAAGAAAAAAATTTTATTCGAGGATCGATGTCTGAGCTTTGAAGAACTAAAAGCCCACTGTTGAATTGCAAAGTGGGGATTTGTATTAATTTCATAAACACTTACGTTCACCAAACCGAGGGAACAGAGCTTGTCCTTGATGTAAGTACGCGCGTTGGTCTCGTTGCCATCCTGGAATGCAATTTTGACATCAGGATCTGAGTAGACCTCAGCGTAACCCTCGAGGTTGCGACCCTGACGTTTTGATATGAGAATATCGTCGATTACAGAATCCACCTGTAATCAGGTGGCATCGTACTTTACAGATATTATGCTTTAAAAAGCTTTATTTTCTTTTTAAACGTGCTTATACTCTTTAATTCAGTTAAAGGATTTTACCAGAATATAATTTTAGCTTTCGTTCAGCCGAGCGTTTAATATAAAAACTATTTTACTATTTTACAATGGCACTAATTCTTACCGATTTTTTATTGGCGACATTGGCGACTCCGCTGGCGCTCGTCTGAATGTTAGCGTTATACAATGAGGTTTCCTGCGTCTTCCCTCTCTGCGTGTCAGAAGTCTCGAACGTAACAGGATTATTCTTTCTTCCATTAGAGTTCTCAATTGAGTCTTCGTTCCACGGCTGCCATTCTCGTTTCGAAGAATCGCTCGTAGGCGTGTCGTACACTTGAGTGCCAAGTGCCTGTCTTGCTATTACCAAGCAAGCTATCAGAATGAACTGCGTCCTCATCCTGTAACGAAAGACAAATAAAAGTTAGATCTCAAAATCTAACTACCAGAAGGTGCTGTACTTGAAAATTTTACCGACAAAATACCGATTTTTTCCTACAAAGTTTACATTATATTGGTCGCACAGAATTAAAAATGTTTTTACACAGTGAAAATAAGTGCAAAATTGCATTGAAATATTGCACAATATAATAAAAATAATAATTTGTTTCTTGGTCTTTCTCTTATACAGGTACACGGAAAAGTCAACTCCGTTAGTGTAACTGAATTTTCTGTTATGGAAACCAAACAAAATATTTAATTGTAGGAACAGAAAGATTCCTAAAGAAAGTTTCTACTCAGTCAACTGTTCTCAGTTATCTTAATCGAGCTTCAATGCGGATTGAATATTCAAACAAATGTTTTTAGTCATAGTAACAGAGATATTATTTCTCGTCGACCAGTTTTTCGTCTGGTCCTCATTCAGTTGCACGAACTGAAATTCTTTTCCTGTGTAGTATATGAAGCACACTGAGAGAAAAGACTGGTAACTATAACAAACTGCATTTAGTTACAGAAATTCGTTGAATCCTTAGTAACTAATACTAAATATGATAATAATTACCAAATATTTAATAGATCGGGAGTATGACGTAATTGCATTCACAGTAACATCAATTAAATAATTTAGTAATAGTTACTTAATGTTAAATATTTAATATGAAATATATTACAGTTATGAACAGATATTTGATAATTGTTATGAAATTGTTATATTCTATGTAATAAAAAATTCAATAGGTACGAGTTCTATTTTGTTACCAGTATAAGTATGTTTTGTTGCAGCACAACGAAAAATTCATTCATTTGCAGCTATTATATCGTTTCAATATCTATTATTACAGATGATTGGTTGAACCTACCAAAAATTTTGTAACTATTACAAAATCGCTTATTTTGCTCAACTATTCAATAAGTTTTATTTACCAAATATATTCTGGAAGCAAATAAATTTTACTACTAAATAAATAATTTATTTTACAGAGCTAAATTAATTAATAAGTATTGCCATAGCTTTGGCCCGCTATATTTACGTCTACCTCTTAGTAATAGTAACCAAATTTTGATAATATTTACTAAATCCTTCTCTCAGTGTATAAATAGCAAAATCTAAGTTGAATTAAGGGCCACATTGTTCTAACTTCTTGGTAAACTAACTGATAGTTATCATATGTTTTCTTTCTTCAATTTATACAAAGACAGACGTATGATTTAACTATCAGTTAATTTATCAAAAAGTTGGAACAACTGACCTTTAGAGGACAAAAAGTATGAGAACAACTGTACAGCGTTGATATTATTATCATCCTTCCAAAAGTGGTAATATTACACAAATTAAAATAAATATCAATATGGAAAACGAAATAAAAGGAAAACGATAAAAAGAATTTAAAGTTGAGCTATCAATTAGTGTGAATGTTGGCCTAACACAAAAATTTTGTAGCTCATACACACTAAACGTGTACTTGCTCTGCTCAGGATAATTTCAAAGAACTTTGCTGTACCTTTACAAGTGAATTTAGAAGCTCAAAAATATACGAAGAATTTGCAAGAAAATATATGTGTTCGTGGTTATATTTTATGCTAAATACAGGTTTATATTTTGTGCTAAATACAGCAAAATAAAGCAGCATACATTTATGTAAGATCTGTATGTAAAAAAAATATGAAAAGGATAGCATAATTGTAACTTCTTATCTGACATGATATTTTAACATTCGCCTCTACGTTATCGATATTTTTTCATCCACTTTGGCATCCTCGTTGAATTTCTTTCGACGAAAGTAAGAAATGGTTAATAAGAGCTGATCGCAGTTGTCATGCGAAATAATACTACAGCAACAAGATGATATTAAATATTTCGACAGTGTAATCCCACGTGTCGGATAATATAACCGACGGATTCTAAAGTGTGCGCGACTAGTAAGAGATCGTTGTCATCAAATCACCATCCCATATCTCTCAAATTTTAACTCTTTGCGGTCTCAAGCTGCTGTGGGTGCATCTTTCTCATTAATCTGATTATTTTCGTGCAGAAAGTGAGAGATTAGTTAATTTTCGATGTAAAAGAAGCAATAAATAAAGTTCTTACAAGTAAATTTTTGTATTATAATTGTCAAAATTTTTACTAGTGAAAGATAATACTTTTGAACATATTTCATCAAATTAAATAGTAAGCAATAAAGTAGCTTCGTCAGGAATATCCAAGCTTGAGACCGAAAGATTAAATGACAATTATAAGTCTGTCATTAAATTAATTTGGAGAAAGTTAATTCTAGTATTTCTTTCTTTTTTCAATTATATTCTATCTCGCGTCACGAACTATTATTACAATTTGATTCAACATACTTTACTTGCATTAGATCTATCCTTTTTACCTGAACAAGGTTGCACTTTTTGCCTTTGGAGTAAAACAAATATACATTTTACATGCAAATATACGCAATTATAATCTAGTGGTGAGAGGGAAAGTAACAAAGTGCAGCGCCGACTCAGTGAAATGAACACATCCCTTCCATTACATTGTTCCTCTCACCACAGATTAATTTATTATATGAATTTATATATCGAGTTGACATACGGGGCGATTTACTCTCCGCTCGTCTCTCGAGGATCTCTCGGCAATTTCTCCGCGAGTATCGGCCGCGAATCCACGTGAAAGTATATCTCGCCTTTCTCCGTTCGGTTTTATTGTTCGAAGAACGTGCTGCAGAGCTAACACGGGTCAATATCAGTCTTCCTCGTGGAGAGACACGTCTTTGACATTCCGGAAATCGCCCGTCCACCATTAACGACCCAAAGTCTCTCTCTCTCTCTCTCTCTCTCTCTCTCCCTCTCTCGCGCTCACACCCCTTTCTTTCTTTCTCCCTTTCTCGTTGCCCCAGAAAGACAAGATTTTATTGCCCACGAAGCCTCGCATTCTCGCTCACCCGTGCACACGCGATCGTAGATACCAGTTTCCGGTTAACAGAACGAACCAAAGTCGTCTCGGCGTACAGACGCATACAGGCGTGTAATTAAAGTAGCGAAGGAGAGGCAGGGAGGGAGTAGCGGAGGGGAGGAGGTCAACGAAAGCGAGAGGAAGTTGGGTGAAAGTCGTTAGGTCGGTTCGTGTTTGTACGATGAGACGTCTTGCCGGGCACATCCCGCGTCGTATTATTATTATCCTTTTCGAAATCGTTTCGTCGACCGGAGAAAGCAATTGCGTAATGAATGCGACGCGCTCGTTCGTTCGTTCGTTCGGCGGACGGGATTTAAATTTCAAATGGGCGTCAAGCGCGTCTTGTATTCGCGCGGCGACGGCCTCTTTATGATTAATACGCGCCCCACGCGGAGAAGACGCCGCTCTATTTGGCGAAGGTGTATACATAGCACGCGCCGGATCGCCGTGTCGTTTGCCGCCTACGACAGCGAAAGTGGTTACGTGTTGTGTGTGCGGACACTTCCAATATCTTATTTTACGTTGCTCCTCGACATCCGGCTGAAGCGTGAATTCGTGCACCGAGGCTCATTCAGATTCGCGCGGCGTACTCACCGATCCTCCGCTCGCGAATGACGACCGGCTTTATATTCCCCCTAAACCACGCTCGATGATTCCCGCTTTTCACAGTAAAAGAGTTATCACGAAGTGGAACGACAATGGGAAAACGATTATGTCCTCCTAGATCACTCGAAGTTTTACGACACTTTGAAGTCATCTCCCTCCCCTCCCTTTTTCTCTCTCTCTCTCTCTCTCTCTCTCTC